GAGGGTGTACATGTCTGTATATGTACATGTGTCTGAATGTGTGTGCGTGCCTGTATGTGTGCGCGTGTCTGTATGTGTGCAGGTGTGTGTGTATGTGCGGGTGCGTGTGTATGTGTGGGTGTGTGTATACGTGTATGTGCGCATGTGTTTGTGTCTATTTGCGCGTGTGTAAGTGAGTTTGCGCGTGTGTAAGTGCGCATGTCAGTGTGTGAATGTGTGTCTGCGAGTGTGTGTGCAAGTATGAGTCTGTGTATTCATGTGAGTGTGTGCATGTCAGTGTGTGTCAATATGGAGTGCGTGTGCATGTGTGTGTTTGTGCGTGTATAAGTGTGCGCGTGTCATTGTGAGTGTGTGTTTGTGTGTGAAAGTATATATTCATGTAAGTCTGAGAGTATCTGTGTGTGTGAGTTTGCGCCTGTGTGCGTGCGCGTGTCTGTGTCTGTGAGTGTGTACCTGGTGTGTTTATGCCAGTCTGGGTGACTGATTGCCTTGTGGTATGTTTGCCCAGGTTGCCCCCTCCTCTGGCAGAGCAGCCTGGCCTGAGCTATAGGGGTGGGGGGAGGAGGGGAGGGGGTCAAAGCCCCCGGCCCTGCCCAACCCTCGCTGGTCAACCTGGGAACCAAGGACGTCCAGGCAGTGGGAAAGGCCGGAAGAAGCCGGATCGAGCTCTCTACGTCCCTAGGGCTCAGCAGGGGAGAGGAACAAAGTGGGGGCGCCGAGAGAGAGAGGGACTGTGTGAGGGGGAGACAGCCCTGGGACCCCCGCCCCACTACCCCCACCGGGGGGCTGCAGCACAGACTGAAGAGGAGAGCACCAAGCGGGCAGCTCCGGGGGGAGAGAGAGACCAAGCCGCCGTGGAGGATTTGGGTGAAGATAAACGTGAAGATAAAGAGCAGCGGGAAAAAGAGGGGTCCGGCGGGGGGGCTGGGGATACTGAGGAGCCGTTGGGAACCACGGATACGATAAATAGTAAGCACGAGGATCGTGAGGCATCCATCCCAAAGGTCCCCGCCCAGAACACAGACCCCCAGCACCAGCAGGAGCCCGAGCCGGAGCCCGCCAGGCCTGAGGGTGGGGAGCACACAGCGGGGATCACTGGAGGTGAAGTGGGAGAGAGCTGCAGCCCCTCAGACCCCGCGGTGCCCCCTGATCGGGCTGGGACACAAGCCTCATACCCCCCGAAGTCAGGCCCACCCAGCGCTGACTTACTGCAGGAGGTAAGGTTCTGGGGTGAGAGGGGGGGGGGAGTGGGTGGATGGGGCGGTTGTTCCTCTCGGATGTCAAGGAATCGGGGAAAAAGTAACATGTTAAACACCTGGAACTCCATCCCACTGCCCCTCCGCCTCGCCCCCTCCCTCGCCTCTTTCAAGGCCTGTCTCAAGACCTTCCTCTTCGACCAGCAGCGCCGTCGGTCACCCTCCTACTCCCTGCCCTCCCCCCCTTCCTGATCCCAGTCACCTGCTCGGGTGTGGATCCCTCAGGTCCAGCGCCTTGGGCCATCCTCCTAACATGACAGGCTCCGTGTAAACGTAACATGTTGTTGTTGTTGTTGTTGATAGCTGTCAGCCTGTGTGCGGGAGCCTGGGTTCAGTATTGCGGAGATGCTCCATGATTACTCGAGCCCGCAGTGGGCTCCACCCGACCTGGCCGGCCCCGCCTTCACCCACATCCTGGAGATCCATGACTTCCCCGCGGAGCTGGGGGAGGAGAGCATCCATGCCGCCTTCACAGCGTTTCGGTACGTGGGGAACGTCGCCCTCGCTCGCGGAACGGAAACGTCACGTGTGTTCTACTGCAAAGGTCGTCTGGATTCTCTCTCCGGGGTGGGGGGCTGTGGGGGGCACGGAGGGAGATCTCCGTGGAGCTGAACTGGCTCCACAGTGACCTGCCTGGCAATGGAATATGGGAATCGAGCCCCCGATCAGTGCCGGTCTCGAGCCCCCGGTTCCTGAGCCAGGAGGGGCCGCGGTATCCCAGGGCACTCACTGCTGATGGCAGCACAGCCCGGCCCGGCTCATCGGCAGGACCTGGAAGGGCCGACCAGTCACTGGGGGCCGGGAATCCTCCCCCTCAGCTCCTGGTAATCCTGCAGCCAAAGCCCTAACTAACGGGGAGGGGGAGTCCTAGCTGGACAAGCAGCGGGAAAGCTCGGCCAGACAGTGATGCCAATGGCCAAGCTATGTGTGGGTTTGGCTGGTTAGATTCCAACTCACATCTGGGCTCCCCCAAGCCTTGGCTCTCGCCAACCTGCGCCTAATACTCTCCAGAATTAGGTAAGCAGAAGGCGTCCCTCCAGGGAGAGAGAGAGGGGGAGAGAGCGCATTCCATCCTAACAATCTATCTCTGGGATTTCCATGTGTAAGCGCTGGAATTCTCAGCTTGAGTTTGGAGACTCTTAAGCAACAGTGATAATTTGGTCACTTAACCCACGACTGTCTGTGGGGATGCTGCTGTGCGCAATTCGCTGCTGGGTTTCGCCCGCAAGATATACAGTCACTACACTTGACAGTATATTCTGTGAAGCGCTTTGAGACGTCTTGAAGACGCGATAAGGCGATATATAAAATGCAAGGATTATTATCACTGGGCTGGGCGCTGGAGAGAGGCTGTGACCGGGGAGGTGGAGGGGGGAATGGCCTGTCCACCCAAACCCCTGTTGTGAACCAGTGCTACTGGGCAGCTCTGGAGAAAGGCCTTTGTCTGACCAACACCTCCGGTGGAGACCACAACTGATGGTCAGTCAGCCTGGTTGTGGGGGTGTCTGAATGTGTTGAGCAATTCATTAGGAGCTGTGAGTATGTGTCGGTGCTGACTGTGACCTGAGTGAGAGGTGTGTCGGCGGCTGTGTGGCTGTTTACAGCACATAATGACACTGTTTTCTCTAACGCAGTGAGCGAGGCTTCAGACTGGAGTGGGTGGATGAGGGTCACATCTTGGCTTTGTTCTCCAGCCCAGAGTCAGGTGAGTGAGTGAACATCAAGGCTCTTGTCAGGCTGCCAACACGCAGGCGCTGTGTAGACACAAGTTATTGTCATTATTGATGTTTGCTGTTGTGGAGTCCTGTAGCTCAGTGGTTAGAGCGTTGTGACCTGGGTTCGATTCCCAGGCAGGTCAAAACATTACTTTCCCTTACTCCACACACGCGCCTCTTTTTACTGAGCAGTAAGTAGGAACCCGGTTGTTGGTCAATTGGTGGATCGCTTTTCTCGAGGTGAATAATCCTTTCAAAAAAAATTATGATAATTTGGTCGCTCAAGTCATGACTGTTTGTGGGACGCTGCTGTACTCAACGCGTTTCCCCCACAAAATAATCACTCAATCCAAGCTCTGACTGTGAGGAGATGCTGGATTTCTTTGAGTCCTAAATTGAGGGGATCCACTCAGCTGCCTCCAACCTCCACTCCCTCCCCTTTCCCCCCCACACTCCGACCCCTACCCATCCCTCCCTCCACATCTTCAAACCTGTCTCCCTCTCCTCTCACATCGCCACCACATGCAGCATGAAACCCACCACCTGCTCCCCATCCCCACCCCTCTCCTTACCTCTCAGCTCCACCTCCTCACCCCTCTACTCTCCAACACCATCAATCTCTCCCTTTCATCTGGCACCGTTCCCACCCCCCTAAAAACAGCTATAAAACAGCACCTCCATCCTGAAAAAACCTTCCCTGGACCTATCCCTATTTTCTACCTAACGGCCCATCTCCAACCTCCCTTTTCTTTCCAAGGTCCTTGAAAGAGTCATTGCTTCCCAGCTTTGTTCCTTCCTCTCCTACTTCACGCCCCACATGAGCCCCTCCAATCTGTGCTCACAGCACAGAAACTGCTCTGGTCAAGGTAACAAACAACATTTTGTCCCTGTGTGACCAGGGCTCCCTCTGTCTCCTCGTCCTCCTCGACCTCTCTATTGCCTTCCACACCGTTGACAACTCCATCCTCCTCTATCGCCTCTTCTCTCACCTCCAACTTCAAGATTCTGTCCTTCAGTGGTTCAGGTCTTAGCTCTCACACCGTCTCCAATTTGTTTCTGCCAACGGTTTCTCTGGGACGTCGTCCTGATGTGAAAGGCGCTTTACAAATATAATTTTGTTGCTGTTGTTGTTTATGGTGTATCCCGTGAAGCGCTTTGAAATGTCTGGAAGACATGATAGGGCGCTGTATCAAATGCAGGGAATATTGTTGTTGTTTTTGTGGCACGTGTTTACCCACTGGTTTGGTCACTGACCCGAGCACTTTGTTTCCCAGCCAGTGAAGCCTTGAGCATCAGCCACGAGCAGCTGAAGACTCGGCCCCTGTGTCAGGCGAGCCAAGCCTCCCAGGCCAAAGCCATCAAGCGAGCAGGTAAGGCAGGAGGAGCCGACCAGGACGGCACTGGGGTGGTGGGGGTCTATGTTACCTGTTGTTCTGGTGATCAATCAGAGACTTGGTCCTCTCTGCTCCGCGGTGTCCATTTGTGTGTCTGACACCCACACGTGACTCTTCCCTCCACAAGCTACAGATCATCCAGAACTCTGCAGCCCGTGTCCTCTCCCGCACCAGCTCCGTGACCTCATCACCCCCACCCTCGCCGGCCCGGCTTCACTGGCTCCCAATCCCCCAGAGGATAAAATTCAAAATCCTCGCCCTCGTCTTCAAAGCCCTCCATGGCCTCGTCCCCTCCTCACCTCTGTGACCTCCTGATCCCCCAATCAACCTCTTGCTCAGTTCCAACTCCCTGACTGTCCGGCACTCGGGGACGTCCTCCCGATGTGAAAGGCGCTGAAATGTCATTTTGTATTGTATTGTATTGTCACTCTGTGTTTCCTGTAGAATTCCTGCAGCCGGTGAGAGATCGCCCGCGCACTGACACGCTGCTCGCCCACAGGCTGGTGTCCAGGGCTCTGGGGCTGGAGGCCACGGAGAGCAAAGAGCCCCCCCAGCCCCATGGCCACAGCAGCGGGAAGGACCCCAGCCCGGTACGTTCCAGCCGCCTCCTCCCTCTCTCCCTCCCTCCCTCCCTCTGTGACCTGCTAACCCCATATCAACCTGTCCGCTCCCTCTACTCAGCGGGCTCCAGCCTGCTCCACGTCCCCCACCTGTCCCACCCCACCATCAGCGGTGGGGCCTTCAGCCTCTCTGCCTCCATCCTCTGGAACTACATCCAACAACAACCGAACGGTTTAACTTCCTCCTTAATGGCCTCCACACACTCACCTCCTTTCTACTGTTCTGTGCGCAAATTGGCTGCTGCATTTCGCCCACAAAATACGCAGTCACTCCACCAACAATATATTTTGTGAAGAGCTTTGAGACGTCTCAACAATGTGATAAGGCGCTATATTAAATGAAAGTTTATTATTATTTATTTCAGGAGTCGGTCAACTCTGATGTATCCTCCAACAAGACTGTCGATTCAGTGGGTGAATAAAAAATATTTATGATCCAACCGGATTCCGTGTCTGTTTGTGGGGGGGTTGGGTATCACTGCGTTTGACCTCAAACTCAAACCTTCCCGTCTGTGGCATTGGGGGCGAATGTTAAAGATCCCCCCCCTCCCACCCATGACGTTATGTGAGACAAGAGAAGGGAGTTTCTCTCCCGGTCAGAGTCCCGGACGACTTTCCCCCAGGATTACTACTAGATCCTGATGTGTCACATTGCCATCAACAAATCCAGGACTCTGCACAAATCGGTCAGTACAAACAAGTACTGAATAGGGTTCAGAGAAATAAACACATACATCAGCAGATTCCTCTGTGCATCCGGCATCAAATGTGTTTATACTCCACAGCCCCCTCCACCCAATCCCCAACCCCCTCCATGTGGAGTCCTGTAGCTCAGTGGTTAGAGCACTCGCTTTGCAAGTGAGAGACCTGAGTTCAATTCCAGGCAGAGGGCGAAACCTTGGGCAAGTTTCCTTACTCCACACAGAGCCTAATAATAATCCTCCAAAACCAAAAACAATAATAAATTGGTCATTTTCAATCTACGACTGTTTGTGGGACATTGCTGTGCGCAATTGACTGTCGCGTTCGCCCACAAATATACAGTCAATTCACTTTACAGTATACCGTACAGGCGAGATAGGGAAAAGCTGTTTCCGCTGGTAGGTGTGTCTGTGACGTGTGGTCACAGTCTTAAGATATCTACCAAAAGAAGCCGAGGGGAGGTTAGAAGAAATGTTTTCACTCAGCGAGTTGTTGGAATTTGGAATGATCCGCCCGAAAGGGCAGTGAAGTCCGATTCGATAACAGCTTTTAAGAGAGAACTGGACAGGTATCTGAGGAAGACGGGTTTGCAGTGTTATGGGGAGAAAGCTGGTGATTGGGGTTAATAAAAGTCAAAGAGCCGCACAGACTCGATGGGCCGAATGGCCTCCTTCTGTGCCGTAACATTCTATGATTCTATGATATTCCATGAAACTGTTTTGAGGCGACTCAATGACATGATAAGGCGTGATATCAAATGCAAGGATTACCATATTATTATTTTTGTTGATTCCAACCATCAATCTCTTATCTTTATCTGAACTTCAGAAATTTGATGGCGTGGAGTGAGATGTTAGGAAAGTTCCTAACAACTTTGTGGCGTTTTTTTTTTTTACGGATTCCCAATCAGGGTCTCTTCAAAACAAATTCTGATAATAAATCGATCCGTCGTGTGCCATCGGCCGCCGTGTTTCGCCCACAAAATATATAGTCAATTCACTTCACAGTATATCCCGGAAAGCGCTTTGAGACGTCTGGAAGACGGGATCAGGCGCCGTATCAAATGCGAGGATTATTATTATTATTCCCACGTGTCGGTGGCAATCTCAGTGGGAGTTGTTGTTGGAAGTGATGGGTATCAGACACTGCGTTGACCAAAACATGTTTATTAAAGTGTCAGCAGTGTGTGTGCAGCTGCTGTGTGGGGCGGTGACCACAGGAGGGCGCTGGGTCCCCCCCCACTGGGTGTGAGGTGGTCAGCGAGAGCCGTTATCATAGAGACACAGCGCCCTCCTGTGGCCACCGCCCCACACAGCAGCCGCACACGCATTTCACCCGACGGCAGTGTGTGCTGTTGCCACCGGAGGGCGCTCTCGCCATTGTAATTTTGCTGCGGGTGTTGTGTGTGGCGCTGCTGCTCTGTGCGGTGGTGGCCACAAGGAGGCGCTGTGTCTCGTTATACTGTGCACAGTGGGGGATGAAAACATTGGCCCAAATGGCTGTTGATCCTTTTGACGGGGAGGAGGGGGGGAGGAGGGGAGGGGGGGGAGGGGGGGGAGGGGGAGGGGGGGAGGATGGGGGGAGGGGGGGAGGAGGGGAGGAGGGGAGGGGGGGAGGAGGAGGGGGGAGGGGGGAGGAGGGGGGGGAGGATGGGGGAGGGGCGGAGGGGAGGAGGGGGGGGAGGAGGGGGCGGAGGGGAGGAGGTGGGGGGGGAGGGGGAGGAGGGGAGGAGGTGGGGGGGAGGGGGAGGAGGGGGGAGGGGCGGAGGGGAGGAGGGGGGGGAGGATGGGGGAAGGGGGCTGTTGGAGTGAGATGTTGGTGCTGGTAATGAGGGAGTTTGAGGCCAAAACCGCGACAACAACAGATTGTATTTATTTCTGTGACGATGCGGCGCCTTTGACTACAGCTCCCACAAGCCATTGCGGGCGCGCGCGCACTTGGGAAGCGGCGGCGGCGGTGGGGGAGGGGGGGAGAGGGGGGGAGGGGGGGGGGAGGGGGAGGGGCGATGACGTGGAGAGACGTGTCGCAAAGTGAGCGAGTGAGTGCCGTCGAGCGGGGTCGGGCTGCGGGTTGTCAGGGCGACGGGCGGACGGTTGAGGAGCCGAGCGCGAGGCGGGTGATACCGGAGGCGACAGCGGCTCCGGGGGCGACACTGTGAGTGAGTGTGTGAGGGGGGGAGCGGCGGCTTGTGGTGAAGTGCTTTATGTTGGGGGGGTAATGGCTCCCGGTACAGGGCGGGGGGGGGAGGGGGGGACGGTCTGTCAGTCAGTCAGTCCCCCCCTCCCCCCCCGTGTCCTGGCGGTGTTTGATTGCCGGTGAGTTCGGCGGCTAATCAAACGCGATAATAAGGAGAGGGGGAGGGGGCCAATCAGGTGGGACTCGATCACTGGGGCCAATCAGGTGGGACTCGATCACTGGGGCCAATCAGGTGGGACTCGATCACTGGGGCCAATCAGGTGGTACTCGATCACTGGGGCCAATCAGGTGGGACTCGATCACTGGGCCAATCAGATGGGACTCGAACACTGGGGCCAATCAGGTGGGCTCGATCACTGGGGCCAATCAGGTGGGGCTCGATCACTGGGGCCAATCAGGTGGGGCTCGATCACTGGGGCCAATCAGGTGGTACTCGATCACTGGGGCCAATCAGGTGGTACTCGATCACTGGGGCCATCGTGTGGGGTTCGATCACTGGGGACCAATCAGGTGGGACTCGATCACTGGGGACCAATCAGGTGGTACTCGATCACTGGGGACCAATCAGGTGGGACTCGATCACTGGGGACCAATCGTGTGGGGTTCGATCACTGGGGACCAATCGTGTGGGGTTCGATCACTGGGGGTCAATCGGGTGGGACTCGATCACTGGGGACCAATCAGGTGGGGTTCGATCACTGGGGACCAATCGTGTGGGGTTCGATCACTGGGGGTCAATCAGGTGGGACTCGATCACTGGGGACCGATCGGGTGGGACTCGATCACTGGGGACCAATCAGGTGGGGCTCGATCACTGGGGCCAATCAGGTGGGACTCGATCACTGGGGCCAATCAGGTGGGGCTCGATCACTGGGGCCAATCAGGTGGTACTCGATCACTGGGGACCAATCAGGTGGTACTCGATCACTGGGGCCAATCAGGTGGTACTCGATCACTGGGGACCAATCAGGTGGGACTCGATCACTGGGGACCAATCAGGTGGTACTCGATCACTGGGGACCAATCAGGTGGGACTCGATCACTGGGGACCAATCGTGTGGGGTTCGATCACTGGGGACCAATCGTGTGGGGTTCGATCACTGGGGACCAATCGGGTGGGACTCGATCACTGGGGACCAATCGTGTGGGGTTCGATCACTGGGGACCAATCGTGTGGGGTTCGATCACTGGGGGTCAATCAGGTGGGACTCGATCACTGGGGACCAATCGGGTGGGACTCGATCACTGGGGACCAATCAGGTGGGACTCGATCACTGGGGACCGATCGGGTGGGACTCGATCACTGGGGACCAATCAGGTGGATTGGGTTCGGACACTGTTGATTTGCACAGTGCCCCTCACACGGGAGCACTTGGCACTGGGGGAGTAAACACCGGGGAGGGGGGACTGTAGGAACAGGTCGAAGAGGAAGGTCTTCAGGCGCAACCTGAAAATGTGGACGGAGGGTCAAGCGGAGGGATAGAGAGAGTGTTCCAGAGTTTTGGAGTGCAGTGGCTGAAAGTGCGGCTCCTGATGGGTGGAGCGGAGGGCACAACAATAATAATAATAATAATAATAATAATCCTCGCATTTGATAGAGCGCTTTTCACGTCGGGAGGAAGTGAGTCCCAAAGCGCTTCACAGAACACACTATAAAGTGAATTGACTGTATATTTGTGGGCGAACGCGGCAATTGCGCACAGCAATGTCCCACAAACAGTCGTGGATTGAAAATGACCAATTTATTATTGTTTTTGGTTTTGGAGGATTATTATTAGGCTCTGTGTGGAGTAAGGAAACTTGCCCGAGGTTTCGCCCTCTGCCGGGGATTGAACTCAGGTCTCTCACTTGCAAAGCGAGTGCTCTAACCACTGAGCTACAGGACCCAAGGGACATGCAGGTGACTGGCTGGAGCAGTGGTAGAGTTATAAGGTAGTTGTGAGAAGAGCGAATGGTACAGGACGGTGAAGCTCCCAAACCCAGGCCAACATACCATTGTTACGCTGCCCGCCGAGGGGGGCGTTCAGTTTGTGAGCAGCCATCAGAGGAAGGGTTGGTTGACAGGATTACTCACGATGCTGCGCTTGCGCAACTGGTCAGGAGCATTCACTCCCGGGCGTGTTCTGTGATTCATGTGGAAACATAGCCGCCAAGTCTGTAACTAAGAAGGATCCACTGTGACATCTTGCTTAGGGTGTGAGTCAGTGCGTTATACTGTTAATCACATGTGACACGTGGCAGAGTGGAATGGGCGAAGTGCAGTTTCATAGATCTGCAACGTAAAGATCAACAGTAGTTGACTGTTAATTTTTTATATTGTGGAGTTGAGAAATGATCCCCTTTGAACAGGTAAATCAGTCTCGGCTTTCCTGTAGCGTTCCTTGAGTCCTAATATTGAATACGTTTGAATGGGTTGTCAAATTACTGTTGTTTTTCACAGCAATAATAAAAGGGAGGGGTAGAGGGGGTGTGCGGGTTTGGAGAAACTCAAGGTTATTTGCAAAGTTTGTAGTTTAATTTAATGAAATACTTCAACTTAAAAGATTTCACTTCCATCGAAAAGAGACGCTGCCCTGATTGCTCAGTAGCCTGGAATTGCTTAGGGCAAGAAAGCTTGATGTCTGCACACGCATGAGCGCACGTAATCACGCATGTTTGCATGTGACGAGCAATTGGGTTTTTAATGCAATACAGTTTCATCTCTTAATTTTGTAACGCCACAGTCATTACTTTGCAGTAAATCATGTGAGGCGCTTTTTCCCTAACATGAAAGGTGCCGTTATCAGATGTAAGGACTATTATTGTTGTTGAGTTCATTGTGATTTTCTTGTTGTCTTGTCGGAACAGACCCACCATGTCTCTCTGCCAGCCCTCCGCACTGTGCGGGTTGTATCCACGTGGATTCAGTAAGAACAAATCCGGATTTCCCTTTACACCGTGATCAGAGTTGTTTTCACCATGGGAAGGTAAGCCATTCCAGGACTTACACATTTCGGCACTAAAGGTATAATGTTAACAAACGGATTGTTTTAGCATGGCTCCTTGCGTCTTCACCGCCTCTCCAGTAATCCACAGTCTGTAAGGATCTCTATGCAGGGCAAGGCTTCTAGATTTTAACGCCATCAACAAATAATATTGAGATGTGTGAATGTGTTCCCTCCACAAATACTATGTCTCTTACTTGCAAATCGCTTACATTTGTGTATTCTCACCATATTTAGCACTGAAATGTGTCAAAGAGTGTTTCACAGGATTTACTGCAAAGTAGAGTGAGTGTACGTACTTTGTGGCCGATATTTAGCATGTTGTAGCATTGAAATGTATCAAACCGCTTCGCGGGTCATCATGATTAATTCACTGCCGTTAAAATAAAATAATACTGCATCTTTGTGAAAACCTGACTGTGGTTCCTCTCTTCCACAGACTGTGCATCTCCTGTCTGTTCCCCGCCTCGTGGCATTTCAGTGTGTCTCCTGCTGCCTGCCCCCGTCCCCTCAACACCACTTTCCGACAGCTTGTGGTGATTGCCTTTTTCACACTCACAATCTTCCTGTTGTATATTTTGCTGGTCTTCGATAGGAATCGATGGGGACGTTTGTATAAGGACAAAGGGAACAGGTACAGCAACAACAACTTGCACGTGTATAAACAATCTTCTTCATGTTGAATAACGTCTCAGAACGCTTCAGAATGTGGGGGGATGGGTGCGAAGCCGGGAGAGTAGAGGGGGAGAGTTAATGCTAAAGAGCTAAGTTTTAAGGCGTGGTGAGGGAGGAAGGCAAGATGGCATGTGTCCAGCATATCCTGAAGGATTGTCAACTAGAACGGGTGACTGGTAGAAACTCCCCTCCTCTTTTTGGTTTGGCAGGTACTCTACCAAAGTGACAGATACGGAAGCCACAGATGTAAATAATCCTTATTTAAACTACGGTATTGTGATAGACTGCGGCAGCAGCGGCTCCAGACTGTTTGTGTATTGCTGGCCAAGGCACAATGGGAATCCGCATGACTTGTTGGATATCAAGCAAATGAGGGACATAAACCGACAGCCTGTGGTGATGAAAATCAAGCCAGGTGAGACTGCCAGCGCCAGGTGAGACTGGTAGCGCCAGGTGAGACTCGTAGGGCCAGATGAGTTTGCTAGTTCCATGACAGCAGACGCTGCTGTTTGGTTATAATAATAATCCTTGCATTTGTTACAGCGCCTCATCTCGTCTTTGAGACATTTCAAAGCACTTCACAGAATATATTGTAAAGTGCAGTGACTGTGTATTTTGTAGGCGAAACGCAGCATCAAATTGCCACAAACAGTCATGGATTGAGTGACCAAATTATTATTTTATTTATTTGAAAAGCGATCTGCCAATCGACTAACAACCAGGTTCCTACTTACCGCTAAGTAAGCAGAAGAGCGTAGAGTAAGGAAACTTGCTTAAGGTTTAACCCTGGCCCGGGAATCAAACCCAGGACTTATCGCTTGCAAAGCAACTGCTCTAACCAATACGCTTCAGGACTCCATATTTGATTTGATTAAAATAAGCGCCACTTCATTTTAGGAAGGAATGTACTAATAAAAATAATAATCTGTGCATTTGATAGAGCACCTATATAACGTTGAAACTTTTCAAAACGATGAGTGCTGGACTGAGCTTTTGAAAGTGTATAAGCAGTTGTGTTTCTCTTGTGTGATTTTCTTTCCCCCCATTTTACTCTGCAGGTATTTCAGAGCTGGCTACCAGTCCGGAAAAGGCCAGTGACTACATCACTCCTCTCCTCACCTTCGCTGCAGAAAATATCCCTCCGTCTAAACACAAGGAGACACCATTGTACATCATGTGCACTGCAGGAATGCGCATCTTACCAGAGAAGTAATGAATGCCATCTTGCCCACTTGTTCATAATGCCCAAGGCAATGTGAACCCAACGGAGAAATGAATAAAGTGATCAGCAGTTGCCCTCATTTACTGTCAATAACCTTTACCTTTTTAATTCAATACCTACAACATAAAAACAATATGCTTTACTGTGAATCCCAATGTGAAAGGCACTTTTATCAAATGTAAGGACTATTATTATTATTAATAACATCCTGAAGCACTGCATGGATAACTGCTGTAAACCCAGTCACTGTGTTTGTAGTCAACATGATAACCAATTTGCTCAAAGCCACTCAAAGCACATTTTGAGGGAGAATTATGGAGAGGAGCTGTTCATCTAATCTGTGGGACAATCTGCCTTCCCACTTTGTATCTATACTGTGCTTTAAAGTTACTCGTCACTGACCACCTGGTTCTGTTCACAGCCAGCAAAGCGCCATCCTGGAGGACCTCCGCACAGACATCCCCCTACACTTTGATTTCCTTTTCTCCGACTCACACACAGAAGTCATTTCAGGCAAGCAAGAAGGTACGTGTACTGTGTTTTCAGCAGTAGAATTAAAACAACACAGACAGAAGCCATGCGTGTGATAAAGTGTATGTAACGTCTTGCGTTCTTGCATTCGCTGCTCAAAAAATGCCTTTGTGTTTTGCAATGTCCTCCCAATGCAAAATACAACAACAACTTGCATTTATATAGTGGCCTTCATGGGGAGCAGGGGGCAGCATCTTGGAATGCTTAACAATGGCAGAGCCTGACGTCGAGCTGGGTGGGGGGGGAGGGAGGAGGGAGGTGACCATAAATACGGTCGAAGAGGAAGGTCTTCAGTCATGATGTAAAAGGGGGGAAGGTAGAGGGATTGGGGAGAGAGTTCTAAAACTTCCGGGTGTAGTTCCTGTAAGTGCAGCCACCAATGGCAAGCACAGAAAATGTTCTAGATAAAGTGTAGATGTTATTACTGTATTGTATTTTTAAGAAGTCACCCTGTTGATACAGTGTCAGGTGCCTATTAGTACAGACACTCTTTCAAACAATTTGCTGTTCAAGTATTTGTGTGTTTATTGCAAGGATTAGATGTTTGTTTCTGAATGAATAATTGTAACCGTTGTTTAGGAGTATACGCGTGGATTGGAATCAATTTTGTCCTGGGACGCTTCAATCACATAAACGATGGTAAGCAGTGTTCACAATGTTTGCGGGGTGTGTGGTAACGCTTCTCTTAACCCAGCAGCAACAACAACTTGCATTTACACAGTACCCCTCACACAGGGTAGCTAGCATCCCAGAGCGCTTGACAGTGGCGGAGCACAACACTGATTTGGGGGAAGGTGATCGTAGGCACGGATGAAGAGGAAGGTCTTCAGGCATGACCTGAAATTGGGGAAGGAGGGGTCCAGGCAGAGGGATAGAGGGGGAATGTTCCTGTAAAGCACTGTCACGTCCTCATAGTGAATTCATGTGAACAAAGCTTTGCTATTTTTACGTCTGATTTTTGTGTACAGGGCCAGATATCGCGACGTTTCTTAATAGATTGCAACTTATAGCACCTTCCCACGAGGTCTCAAAGCGCTTCACTAGAGGTATACTGTATACTGTGAGTGGAATGATGGTGTGTTTTGTAGGCAAGTTCAGAAGCCGGTTGCACAGAAACGTCCCACAAACAGCCGCTGTTAAAAGACTGAGTGAATGCAATCTTATGCTTGTGTTTTGATGAATTCCCACAGGCGAGCATGCTGTGGTGGAGGTGAACATGCCTGGCACTGCGACCCAGGAGGCTATTGTTCGCAAGAGGACAGCAGGTGTTTTGGACATGGGAGGGGTGTCTACTCAGCTAGCCTATGAAGTCCCCCAAACTGTAAGCTTTGCCTCATCGCAACAGGTTATTATCTGTCCAGCCTTTTTTTTATATATACTTTCTTTGGTTTATCTTCGGTCTCGCATTTGTTCTGGTGTTATTTTTACTTTTAGTTGGATATTTTTGGCAAATTGAAGCAGACTTGTTTTTTCTCTCATGTTGTGCTGCTGCTTTTACGAATCTTTTCCAGATGATATTTTCTGGCCTGAGTTACACTCTTCCCACCGCCCCCCCACCACCCCCTGCCATAGCAGATATGAAGTTTTACCATTTGGGGGCAATGGGGAGGGTGTATCCTCGTATTTACTCTCTGAATCTTCGTCACACAGCATCAACCTTGCTAACCTGCATCTCCTACGTCCTTTTCACTATCTTTCGCTCATTATCTGAGTCACTTCTTAATGCAATGTGTATTCATCTGCTAAAGTTCAGGAATCATTTCCAAAACTCCCCACCCCCCCCCCACCCCGCGCTGCCCCCGTCACCAGTGTACGGATTAGCGTGAGGATGTTTGCATTAAAATACGTCTAAACAAAGAGAAAAAGATGGTTGTGGGAATACCATTGGGTGCCTGACAAAATAATTCATAATAATAATAAGCCTCACATTTGATATAGCGCCTTATCGTATCATTGAGTCATCTCAAAGCGCTTCACGGAATTTACTGTACAACAACAACTTGTATTTATATAGTGCCCTGCATGCCGGACTGTGTTGTGTGGGCAAAACGCAGCAGCTAATTGCGCACTAGTGTCCCATAGCCAGAGCTCAGGTTTTGGAGGGAAGTGGGGGAGCTGAGTTCAATTTTTCTGTCGGTCGTCAGTGTGTGTAATGCTGTGGGAGCACCTTAGGATTGCTGACGTCTCTGCCCATTACTAACCCTTTGCAGGAGGAGGTGGCCAAAAACCTGCTGGCGGAGTTCAACCTGGGTTGTGACGCCCACCAGACAGAGCATGTCTACCGTGTCTATGTCACTACCTTCCTCGGGTTCGGTGGCAACGCAGCCAGACAACGCTATGAGGAACACATCGTCAGTAAAACTGTCCTAGCAAATAGGTAATGTCACCGCTGTTAGCAACAACATAAGAATTGCTAGGTGCAGCTTTGTTTTGTCAGCTGAGTGTCTGACACATGCGGAAACCCATCTGCTTAAGAGTCTGCAAACCAGACTGAGACTTCCATGCATCCCACCTATACATGTAAATCCCAGAGATAAATTGTTGGAATGAAATGCGCGCTCTCTCTTTGTTGGGACGTCTTCCTGATGTGAAAGGCGCTATATAAATGTAATTTTGTTGTTATTGTCTCTCTCTTTCTCCCTGGAGGGACGTATCGTGCTTGCCTAATTCTGGAAAGTACTAGGTGCAGGTTGGCAAGAGCCGAGGCTTGGGGGAAGCCCAATGTGTGCATTAGGGTAACTGCTGGAGTCTAACCAGCTAAAACCACACAGCTTGCCATTGATAGATGAAAGAAGACCAAGGTCCATCTAGTTTGTTTCCACCATCCTGGCAGTTGCATGCATATGTCATGTCCCAAGCTATATATTGTATCCTGAGATATTTCCTAAAAGACATCTATCTAATTTGCTTTTGAAAGAATCAACACTTTCTTCTTCCAATGTCTCCCTAGGGAGCCTGTTCCATACATTTACTACTCGCTCACTGAAATAGTGTTTCTGCAGATTTGTTTTGAATTTACAAGACTGTCTAACCCAACGTTGACAACACAACAACAGCTTGTGCTTATGACGCGCCCCTCTCAGAGCGTTCAACAAAGCCGGAGTTTGACATGGAGCCGGGAATGCAGGGTGCTGTGATACGGCAGTATAGAATAATGGAAATTTCCACCATAAGCAGGCTGTTTGGCACATCGAGTCCTCACTGGCTCTCAGAGCAAGCTGTGCATTGAGTCCCACTCTTGTCTCATGTCGTTTCAAGCCTCTATCCCTCATTATACCTGTCTCCTCTCTTGAAACCTACAATGGACTCTGCCTCTTCTACATTGGCAGAGCATTCCATGTCCCAACAACAACAACTTGCATTTATAAAGTCTTGGATCGCAGAAACAACTCTGTGTGCGGGAAAAAAATTCTCCTAAACTCTCTTTTAGTTCTTCTTATTGAAGTTAGTCAGCACTTTATTTTGTCAATAGGCTATGCTAAGACTCAACGAAACTTGACTTTGACCTACCTCTCTTGCAGCCTGTTGGGGAAGAAGACTGGTTTGACTGAAGACATGCCGTACCTGGATCCTTGCTTGCCTGTGGATTTCCTCGACACCATCCGTCAGGACGGACACACCGTGTATGTGAAGGGATTGGGAGATTTTGACCGGTGCCGTCAAGTCATCGACCCTTTCTTGAACAAAACCAACGGGACGTCAACATCACTGAACGGGGTGTACCAACCTCCGATAGACTACCACAACAGCGAGTTCTACGGCTTCTCTGAGTTCTTTTACTGCACAGAGGACGTCCTGCGTATGGGCGGGGACTACAATGTGGCCAAGTTTAGCAAGGCTGCCAAGGTACTGAAGAGGAATTGACAATTTACCTGCCAAATGTTCATTCAAGTCTAACCAACACCTTATTGCCTGGACGCTGTAAAGGCATCGTAGGTTCCTCAGCAAGGCAGACCCTTTGTGTCTCGTACTGACACTGTCGGGGACCTGCGAAAAGGATTCATTAACTCTGCTGCACTTTTACGTTTAAGATCTACACAGTTGTATCGGTTATTCTGTGTTTAGTGAGTAAGTTGAAGTGTGTTGGCCACCCACTGACACTATTGATTGGGTGGAAGGTGGGGGGGATATGTGGAGGATATACATTCCCACAAAAGGGCAAGGTAGGGCATCTGAACCTCCCTGGATGACTATGAAAATTGGGATTAATATAAAACAGGAAAATGATAAATGTCAGGTCCAAAGTACAGAAAATAATCAAATAGAATATAGAAAGTACAGAGGAGAACTGAAAAAGGAAATAAAGGGGGAAAGGGATTGTATAACAAAAGATTAGTGGGTAACATAAAAGGGAACCCTAATGTATTTTATGAGCATATAAAGAATAAAAGTTTAGTAAAAAAGGTCGGGTGAGTTCAATTAGGCCCCAAAGAGGAAATCTTCTTGTGGAGGCAGAGGGCACGGCTGACGTACTGATGTACTTTGCATCTGTCTTCACAAAAGAAGAGGATGCAGCCAATGCCACAGTATCGGAGGAGAGGGTAGAGAAATTGGATAAGAATAAACTGAGAGGAGGTACTAAAACGGTTGTCAGTGCTCAAGGTAGATAAGTGACTCGGTCCGGATGGGAAATTAGCAGAGGCTCTGGCCACAATCTTTCAATCCTTCTTGGACACCAGAGTAGTGCCAGAGGACTGGAGGGTTGCAAATGTTGCTCCCCTGTACAAAAAGGGCAGAAGGATAAACCCAGGAACTACAGGCCAGTCAGCCTAACGTCAGTAATAGAGAAAACCTAGAGACTATAATCTGGGACAAAATAAATTTTCACTTAGGAAATAGGTTAATAAAAGACAGCCAACATGCGTTTGTTAAAGGCAAATCGTGTCTAACAAATCTGATAGAGAGTTTTTTGATGAAGTAACGGAGAGAGTGGATGAAGGTAGTGCAGTTGATGTAGTTTATGTGGATTTTCAAAAGGGGTTTGATAAAGTGCCAGAAAAGAGACTTGTAAGCAAAATAGAAGCCCACGGTATTAAAAGGGCATGGGTATAGAACTGGCTGGGAGACAGAAAGCAGAGCATGGTGGCAAACGGTTGTTTTTCTGACTGGAGGAAGTGTGCAGCTGTGTCCACCAGGGGTTAGTATTGGGACCACTACCAGGAAAAGTAGTAAACAGTGAGGAGGATAGCAGCAGACTGCAAGAGGACAAAGACAGACTGCTAAAATGGGCAGCCACGTGGCAGATGACATTTCATGTGGAGAAATGCAAAGTGATGAGGAGAGGCAATATAAGATGATGGTACAATCTTAAAGGAGTTGAACGAACAGAGAGATCTGGGCATTCATATAAGTAAATCTTTGAAGGTGGCAGGACAGGTAGATAAAGCTGTTAAAAAAGCATTCGGGATACTAGGCTTCATAAATAGGGCATAAAATACAAAAGTCAGGAAGTTATGATGAACCTTTATATAAAACACTAGGTCTCAGCTAGAGACTGTGTTCAGTTCTGGGCATCACACGTTAGGAAGGAGGTCATGGTAACACCAACAACTTGCACTCATATAGCGCCCTCCATGCAAGGTAGCGTCTCAGAGCGCTTAGCAGTGGTGGAGCCTGGCTCCGAGCTGGAGGGGGGAGATGGCGTAAGCACAGTCGAACAGGAAAGTCTTCAGGCGGGACTTGAAAAAGAGGAGAGAGGGGGCAAGGCATTGGAGAGATATGCAAAGAGATTTACCAGAATGGTACTAGGAATGAGGGACTTCAGTTATGTAGAGAGACTAGAGAAGGTAGGCTTATTCTCCTTGGAGCAGAGGTTGAGAGGAGACTTAGAAGTTTTCAAAATTATGAGGATATTTGATAGGGTGAACAAGGAGAAACTATTTCCACTGGTGAGTGGGTCGGTAACCCGAGGACACCAATTTAAAATAGTTGTTAGAAGAAACAGAGGGGAGGTGAGGAGAAATGTTTTCACACAGCGAGTTGTTGGGATCTGGAATACATTGCCTGAAAGGCTGGTGGAAGCCAATTCGACTTTTAAGAGAGGAATAGATAATTATTTGGGGAGAACAAGTTTGCAGGGCTGTGGGGAGAGAGCGGGGGAGTGGGGTTGATCAGGGCTACGGGGAGAGAGCAGGGGAGTGGGGTTGAACAGGGCTATGGGGAGAGAGCGAGGGAGTAGGGTTGATCAGGGCTGTGGGGAGAGCGCGGGGGAGTGGGGTTGATCAGGGCTATGGGGAGAGTGTGGAGTAATGGGGTTGATCAGGGCTATGGGGAGAGTGTGGGGGAGTGGGGTTGATCAGGGCTATGGGGAGAGAGTGGGGGAGTTGATTTGGCTGACACAGATACGATTGGCCGAATGGCCTCCTTCTGTGCTGCATAATTCTATGATTCTATGAATCTTATCTGAGAGATGGAGATTGGGGGAGGTTTCTGTAGTTGAAGGAGGACATTGAATGTAATGTATCTAAATTTACGGATGACACTAAACTCGGTGGGAGAGTAAACTCTGAGGATGATGCAAAAAGATTGCACCGGGATATAGATAGGCTCGGGGAGTGGGCGAGTAGATGGCAGATGGAATTTAATGTGGGGAAGTGTGAAGTTATTCACCAAGGTAGAAAAAATAGAAAAACAACTTATTTTCTAGAGGGCGAGAGATTAGATAGTGTTAGTGTTCAGAGGGATTTGAGTGTCCTTGTACACCAGTCTCAAAAAGTTAGTTTGCAGGTACAGCAGCAACTAAGGCGAACGGCAGTTTGCATTCTTTGCCAAAGGTTTAGAGTGCAAGAGTAGGGAAGTCTTGCTGCAACTGTATAGGGCTTTGGTGAGACCGCACCGAGAGTATTGTGTGCAGTGTTGGTTTCCTTATTTAAAAAAGGACATACTTGCCCTCGAGGGGGTGCAGCGTAGATTCACTCGGTTAGTTCCTGGGATGAGGGGACTGACCTATGAGGAGAGGCTGAATAAACTCGGGCTGTATTCTCTATAGAGTACAGAAGAATTAGGGGAGATCTTATTGAAACATATAAGATTCTTAAAGGGCTGATAAAGTAGACACTGAGGGTCTGTTTCCCCCGGTAGGAGAATCTATAACCAGGGGTCACAGTCTGAAAATTTTGGAACAGAGTTGAGGAAACATTTCTTCACTCAGAGGGCAGTGACTTTATGGAGTTCACTCCCCAGAAGGGCTGTAGATGTCAGTTCTTGAACATCTTCAAGGCTGAGACTGAGAGATTTTTATAAAATAGAGGGATTAGGGGATATGGGGACAGGGCGGGTAATTAGAGTTAGGTCTGAAGATCAGCCATGATCTAATCAAATGGCGGGCACAGGCTCGAGGGGCCGAATGGCCGACTCCTGCTCCTAATTCTTGTGAACATATGTTTGTGGAAGAAATGGGGTTCATAGAATGAAGGTCTTCATTGTAAAGTGGGTACATCCATTTTCTCAAGAGAGGAAATCTACTCAGTAGAATGCGATAGATCTCGTTGCGTGCTCTTGTTAATGTTAAGACGGTTTTTCGCATGTCCTTGTTTTGTAGGATTATTGTGCAGCGAAATGGACACTGCTGAAGGAACGGTTTGATCGTGGCTTGTACTCCTCTCACGCTGACCTCCACAGATTGAAGTAAGTGGAATAGGATTAGAATGGAGAGTTCCATTGTGGGAGCGAGCACCAGCACAGACACGATGAGGAGAGAGCAGTCAATTGGATTAGACTAGAGAGCTCCAGTGAGGAGTGATCACAGCACAGACACGAAGGGGAGAGAGCAGGGAATGGGGTTAGATAGAGAGCTCCAGTGGGGGAGAGAGCAGCAGCACAGACCAAAGTGGAGCTCAGCGTTAGGGTTGTACCTTTTCTGCTTTACTCTGTCACTGAGAGCTCAATCCAGCACCCAGTTCTTTGAAACATTTCAACGTTATAGGTACTCTTATCAAATGCATGGATTTTTGTTGAGTCCTGTAGTATTATTAAATTAGTTAATGCATTCACCACAATTGAGAGACCTGGATATTATTCCTGGGTAGGGAAATCATAGGCAAGTTTCCTTGCTCCACACACACACACACACACACGTCTCTATTTACTCAGCAGTAAGTAGGAACCTGGTTGTCAGTCGATTGTTGGATAATCCCTTAAAAAAAATCCCACGACTGTTTGTGGGACACTGCTGTGCATTTTGCCCAGTAAAATATACAGTCAATTCACTTTACAATATATCCTGTGAAGCACTTTGAGACGTCTCAAAGACGTGATACGGAGCTGTTATCAAATACAAGGATTATTATTATCGTAACCTGTGCCTGTTATTCTGCCCAGGTACCAGTGTTTCAAATCCGCCTGGATGTTCGAGGTGCTCCATACCGGATTCTCATTCCCCGCAAATTACTCCAATCTGAAGACGGCCCAGCTGGTGTACGAGAAAGAGGTGCAGTGGACACTGGGCGCCATTCTCTACAAAACCCGCTATCTGCCACTGAGGTAAGACGCTTGCCCAGTGGTTGCCCAGTTCTGAGAAGACCATTGTGGCCCACAAACAAATACACATACAAATACACAGTCACTTTCCTCTTCGACCGCGGCTTTAAATAAATGAAAGAAAATAATTAACAAATTGGTCACACAATCTCCGACTGTTTGTGAGTCGCTGTTGTGCACAATTGGCTGCTGTGTTACACCCACAAAATATAAATGAATTTATTTTACAGTATATTCTGTGAAGCGCTTCGAGATATCTCGAAGATGTGATCAGGCGCCATATCAAATGCATATTATTATTAAAGCCACATCCTGTTTTTCCCTAGCTCGACATCAAACATCAAATGCAAGTTATTGGTGATGTGTTTATAGTAAATCCTGCGAAGCGTTTTCTGTGAGACTTTGTCGACATTCTCGGTGCCACATGAACTGGGAGAATATTAAGTGCAGAACCACAGACCAACACAGGCTTACTTCAGCTGACCACAAGATTTGACAATTTGTCACTTCTGCATTTTACTTTAGCATTGCATATTTTCTCAAGGTTAAAAATGTTTCTTTTTTTGTGATTAAAAGAAGAAAGAGACGAACTGCTCTCAACTAAAAGGACTCAAGGCTGTTAGGTTATAGAGATGGATACTCTGTTATTTCAGTGAACGAGTAGAAAATGTATGGAACAGGCTCCCTAGCGAGACAGATGGTGGAAGCAGAAAGTGTTGATTCTTTTGATCAAAAGCAAATGAAATAGATATATTTTAGGTAATAATATCTGCGGATACAGAATATAGTTTATGACATGAGCGAGTGACTACCAGGATGGTGGAAGGCAAACTGGATGGACCTTCGTCTTCTTTCGTCTAGCAATTCTAATGTTCTTATGTAGAAAAGTTGTTGGGAATTCAACGGTTTTGCTTGATGGAGCAGTAAGGTTTCAGAGAGGCCCGTTTCAATAACTCTGTTCACAGATATCAGAGATCCTGTGACCCTGTTGGAAAAGAGAAGGGACGTTTCTCGCAGTCGATAATTCACCCCGCCCCACACCCCACCCACCCCCAAACACAACCTGATAAAATTAGTCACACACCTGTTGACTGGTTGTGGGACCTTATAGGCACTTTATGAGCTGCCAAGTTTGCCCACAAGTCATTAGACTTGACAGAGAGCCCAGTGGGGGAGCCAGAATCAGCACAGATACGATGGGAAGAGAGAGAGAAGAGAGAGAGCAGAGAATGGGATTAGAGTGGAGAGCTCCAGTGGGGGAGTGAGCACCAGCACAGACACGATGGGAAGAGAGAGAGAGAGAGAGCAGGGAATCGACTTACTTGTGAAGCACTTTGAGACATTGCATTTTGACGTGATCAGACACTTATCAAAAAGCCAAGTGCTTCATAACTCTTTGTTCCGCTGTTTACAAAATCCGCACAGGGAAACGGAAACTGCCTTATCCCAGTGACACAGTGAGATTCGGGCTGATTTGACGTGGTGCCACTTGGCGTTTCTCACTCATGTTCTTTCTTTGAAACTCCCCGACAGGGACATTCAGCAAGAAAACTTCAAGGGGAACCACACCCACTGGAGGGGCTTTACCTTCGTCTACAACCACTATTTATTTTTTGTGTGTTTCCTGGTGGTGGTGTTGTCCATCCTCCTCTACCTCTTGAGGTTGCGACGGATTCATCGGAGGGCAGCACAGCACAGTTTGTCATCCGCTGCTATCTGGATCGAAGAGGGGGGTGCAGCTCAATTGACAGAGTCTTGATGGAAATGGGGATGTGATGGTTGGTGGGGGGGGGAGAGAGCGAATGTACAAATGTAAAGAGCTGAAGGACACCTGCTCTGAAACACAGTCCACACGTGGCCATACCCAGGAGCTAAGATGGTTGCCGACTACCTTGTCACCTGTTGCCTGTGTTATTCTCTGTTCAGGATCTTCCCTTATTTGCTCCGAGCGTAACCAATTGTTAAACCTCGCTCTTCCTCAATGTAAATTATCAAATGCAAGGATTATTATTATTATTAAATTCTTCCTCGAAGCAGCGGAAGATGCTCGCCCATACACACATACATTCACGCACACACCAAAGCAGTGATATGCTCCTCTTCCCCCCCCCCCCCGCTGTTTGGGAGAAAACTCTTGATGCTGCTTTGCTGGAGTTTTGGTTGGATGCATCCAGCACAGGGTGGTGGGGGGGTGGGGGGAGTGCATAGCTGACCCTCATTGGAATCTGAAGTAACTGAGACAGGCAACCCCCACCAACCCCCACCCCCCTGCAGTGCTTCAACAGCTGTGCTAACGAAATCTCGGCCGGCAAACACCCTCTTACTCAACCTAATCTCTTAGCGTTGCCTCCGTTCTCCAAGAGGGAGCAATGCAACACGATTCACTGTTTGGTGGTTTTATTTAAACCCACCCACCTCTCTCTCCGGCCCTTCCCACCACCTTCCCTTTGTGGTTCGGCCACAAAATACACAGTTCACTTCAAGTATATTCTGTGAAGCACTTTGAGACGTCTCGAAGACGGGATAAGGCTCTATGCATGTCAAATGCAAGGACTCGGTTACTCCTTCACTTCCCAACTCTGTGGCTTTCTTTCCTTAATTTGTTTTAATTTATTTCCATGGACTCGTGTGAGAGAAATTCCACAGTGTGAGGGATGGCAAAATTAATACACTTTGGACTGAACTGAAGATTGCTGAGATTGTTGTCTCTGCTTTAGTTTTTTGCCTTCCCAATGTGAAGGGTGCTACACCAATGTAATTTGTTGTTCTTAATAAGCGGATTTTGGATACAACTGCTCACTGCTGTAATTTGGGTTCTCGATGATGTCTGATTTGCTTATTTCTGTCGTTGCCCTGTTACCTGTCCAGCTCCTGTTAATCACTACCCTTTACAGAAGCCGGTGTGAATTCTGGTACTCCAGTCACTAGCCCACAGAGGGGAGTGTTGATCTCAGTGCTGTGTACAGACATCCCATTCCAGTCGGCCTCGCGTGCCCGTTCTTTTTTGCTTTCTCCGCACTGGGAGCTTGAGGCCGCTCTGTGATCTGCTGTGTGGACTCGCTCTTTCTGTATGACGGAATTTGCCTCGACAACAAGCAATGGACTTGCATTTTATTCGGCGCCTTTCAAGTCGGGACGACTGTTGTGCAGTGAGCGTGCAAATCCTGAGAGATACGTGGCGTTTTACAGCTTCGACTCCACAACTGAGCCTGACTATGCAGCTCCATGACTCAGCCCCACGGTGCAGCTCCACGACTGAGCCCCACGGTGCAGCTCCACGACTGAGCCCCACGGTGCAGCTCCACGACTGAGCCCCACGGTGCAGCTCCACGACTGAGCCCCACGGTGCAGCTCCACGATTGGGCTCCGCTTCAACCGCTTGAATTCTGGGCGCAGCACAAGGTTAATGTGTCCGGTGATTGTTCACGTGATTGTGTGTGGAGCCTTCAAATGTTGGGAAAGGAGCCATTGGTTGATTAGACCCACATTTGCCTACCGAGGGCAATAAAACAACTCATTTTTGCAGCTTCAAAGTCTGGTCTTGTGTTTCTTTAGCTGTGTCTGTGTGCGTGAGGGGGATGTGGGGTGGGCATTACTTATGAAGGAATCCCTGTAGCTCAGTGGTTAGAGCACTCGCTTTGCAAGTGAGAGACCTGAGTTCAATTCCAGGCAGAGGGCGAAACCTCGGGCAAGTTTCCTTACTCCACACAGAGCCTAATAATAATCCCTCCAAAACCAAAACAATAATAAATTGGTCATTTTCAATCCACGACTGTTTGTGGGACATTGCTGTGCGCAATTGGCTGCCGCGTTCGCCCACAAATATACAGTCAATTCACTTTACAGTGTGTTCTGTGAAGCGCTTTGGGACGTCCTCCCGACGTGAAAAGCGCTGTATCAAATGCAAGGATTATTATTATTATTATTATTATTAGTGCTGGCTGCCGAATTCTTAACAAAGAGACCAAATAGTGCAGAACCAAGGTCAGAATTGCTGGTATGAGCACCACCAGCCACTGTTACTGTCAACCAGAGTCTGGCTTGACTGGAAAATACCAGCCGGCGTAGTGGTTAGAGCGCTCGCCTCACAAGCGAGTGGACCCAGGTTTGATTCCCGGGCGGGCGAAACCTTAGGCAAGTTTCCTTACTCCACAAACATGCCTCTGTTTACCAAGCAGTAAGTTGCTGGTTGCTGGTCGATTGGTGGATCACTTTCTGGAGGTAATAATCCCCTAATAATAATTATCCACAACTTTCGTGGGACATTGCTATGCGTAATTGGCTGCTATACTTTACACTCTATTCTGTGAAGTGCTCTGAGACATCTCGAAGATGTGATAAGGTGCTATACCGAATGCAAGGATTATTATTATTATAATTTTCTTCCTGCTTTTACTCCCAAGTTCTTAATCAAAATAATCAAAGGCGAAACCTGATTTTCTTGTTTAATAATAATAATAATCCTTGCATTTGCTATAGCGCTTTTCACGTCTTCTCGACGTCCCAAAGTGCTTCACAGAATACACTGTAAAGTGAATTGACTGTATATTTGTGGGCGAACGCGACAGCCAATTGCGCACAGCAATGTCCCACAAACAGTCGTGGATTGAAAATGACCAATTTATTATTGTTTTGTTTGTCTGGAATCCAATTTTCATCAGCTTTTGAATATAAATGTAACGGAGATCATTTTGACCTCTCGCCCCAAAAAACAACTCTCTTCGAAATTTATTGTCGCTTTTTTTTAAAAAAGATATTTAAAATATATATTTTAAAAAATTGCAAATGTCATTCATCCTGAAATGCTTCATTATAAAGTTTAAATCCAACGAGTGGTACTTCTCTTAATATATATTTATCCTACATTTTAAGACTTGTGCTTTACAGTAAAGTGGTAAAGAGATCTTAACCCGGAACGGGTTGGGCCGATTCTCAGGGGTTTGGCTTCCACACCGCACACACACACACACACACACACATGCGGTTCAGCAGAGCGCGGAGCGGTGTGTCTGTGCGGGGGTCCGTTTAACCGCGTGTACCTGTGTGTGTGTGTGTGTGTGTGTGTGACCGTTTAACCGCGTGTACCTGTGTGTGTGTGTGTGTGACCGTGTAACCGCGTGTACCTGTGTGTGTGACCGTGTAACCGCGTGTACCTGTGTGTGTGTAGTGAAGCTGTTGCTGTGACTATGTCGGAGGCTCTGTGGCGATGGGACCCCCTCTCTGCGGTGTGACGCCGCCTTCCCTCCCGCACCACCTCCCGCAGATGCTGAAGACGGTTCGCTTTCTGGTGCGCGGCTCCGCAGACGTGCGGCCGACCCGCACTCCGAGCCGCAGCGGGTGTGCGGCGGTCCCCTGGGCCCGGGGGGTGGGGATGGGGTCTCGGCCGAGACCCAAACGCCTGTGTCCAGCCGCCGCCTCTGTGCAGAACCCCCTCCACACCCCCAGACTGACCCGAGTGGCCATCGAAGGAAATATCGGTACGGATTTCAGGTGATGGTTAATCGCTGCGATTTCTCGGGACAGCGACTGATCCTCACAGCGCTTCACCGAATAATAATAATAATTCGATATAGTGCTTTTCACGTCGGGAGGACGTTCCAAAGCGCTTCACGGAACACACTGTAAAGTGAATTGACTGTATATTTTGTGGGCGAACGCGGCCGCCGATTGCGCACAGCAATGTCCCCACGAACGGCCGTGGGACTGAGGGACCGAAAGACAAAAATAAGTCTTTTTTAAAAAAGGGGCTGATGGACGGTGTCTTTTTGAGACGTCTCAAAGCGATTCACAGAATATACCGTAAAGTTATAGGAATTGACGGTATTTTGGGGGTGAAAAAAATACATTGATCAGTTTGTGAGAGAGAAATTTGTGTGTGTGTGAACCTGCGTTTGCAAATAATGCCTAATAATATATATATATATACAATATATATAAAACAACTCTGTTTTATTTATTTTGCTGTTAATGCGTCTGTTATAGAGTGTTAGCTAAGATTCCAGCACAGCGTGCGAGCCTTGTTTGTGGCATAAGGTGTTGGCTGAAATAATAATAATAATAATAATCCTCGCATTTGATATAGCGCTTTTCACGTCGGGAGGACGTCCCAAAGCGCTTCACAGAACACACTGTAAAGTGAATTGACTGTATATATTTGTGGGCGAACGCGGCAGCCAATTGCGCACAGCAATGTCCCACAAACAGTCGTGGATTGAAAATGACCAATTTATTATTGTTTTTGGTTTGGAGGATTATTATTAGGCTCTGTGTGGAGTAAGGAAACTTGCCCGAGGTTTCGCCCTCTGCCTGGGATTGAACTCAGGTCTCTCACTTGCAAAGCGAGTGCTCTAACCACTGAGCTACAGGACTCCACGGTTTACAAGGTGCTTTTATTTTTTCCAAACCCATTTCAGAGTTAGGGCGAACCCTGGATTAAATTAATAATTTCTTTGCGGAGTGTCCATTATCTTTGCGCCTGGGTAATTAGTTAACTCACTCTCCCTCCCTGACCAGAGTGTGTGTGTCTGTGTGTGAATCCATCAGTGGTTGAAGCTGGAGTCTTGAGCAAAGCCAAGAGTTGTGGCGAACACGTGTTACTAACGCTACTTCTGGGGCAGAGTGTTTATTGTTAATCATTGTTAATCGCGGAGCAAAGGTGGGATACCAATAGCAAAGGGTTGGATTCTGGGGAATGATATTTGGGTAAGCGAATGCCATTCAAATACTTTTTGCATTTGATCCTAGAAGTTCCAAAGCGCTTCACAGGGAATTACCGCAAAGTGGAGTGGCTCTGTTTGTGGGTGAACACAACAGCCAGTTTGAGCACAAACCCACTTAAGGGAAATCCTCCCGACGTGAAAGGCCCTATACAAATGTAATTTGTTGTTGCGAAGGATTGCGGAAAACCGGTTTCTAATTCAAGGCAAAGTGATGCTACGGGGTGTGTGGGTTCAACTTTACAGACCCCGTAAATACTACCTTACGTTTGTGGAAGGGAAACAAAAACATTGCTTGTGCAGCCCCCTGGACATTTTTCTGAAATAGAGCATCCGGCCCTCAGCAAATAAAACTTTGGACCCCCTGCAATAGGGTAATAAGGATCTTTATTGGTTGCACAGTGTGGGGCTGTTAGCATTGCTATTGTCATGCCAACTCTGCCAACGGAACCTCACAGGTGCTTCCTGTCACCGGTAACTCAGGAAATTCTGGGGAATCGCTCAGCCCTTCGTATCACAGTGTTAGATCATAACAGGCCATTACAAAGCAACAATAACTGGCATTTATATAGCCGCCCTTCACACGGGCAGCGACCCGGAGCTTAACAGAGCTTGGCGAAGCCTAACGCCGAGCTGTGGGGAGGCAGGAGGTGACTGTAAGCACGGTCGAAGAGGAAGATCTTCAGTTGGGATGTAAAAGAGAGGAAGGAGAGAGCAAGATGAAGGGATTGGGGGAGAGAGTTCCAAAGTTTGGGGAAGTAGTGGCATTACAATAGAGAAGGAGTGTCACTGAGACAAAGGCCTGTGCTCACACTTTCACTGGAGCCAACAGTGCCTTTAGCCACAGTCTCCCTTACCCTCTGTAGATCCCTCCCTAAATGCCCTGCACCCCCACCTTTGAAACCTCCTAAGACTTTCCCTCTTGATGATGTCTGGAGTCACCTCCCCCTCTCCATGCTCGGGGTTTGGTACGTTTTCTATAGTGCATTTCCTGCCCTCTCCCCATAAGCCTCTCTTTTCACATGCCTGGCAACCTCCCGGCAATGGACTCCACCTGTACCACCCTACTTAGCAGAGCATTCCACATCCCAACAATTATCTGGGTGTAAAAAAAAATTCTCCCACGCTCCTTTGGCTGTTCTTGTGGCTATCTTATAACTATGTCAGTGCTTTGGGGCGTCCTTCTGATGTGAAAAGCGCTGTACAAATATAATTAGTTGTTTGCCGTTATGTCCCCTAGTTGTTGTCTCCCCCAGCCAATGGAAATAATGCCTCCCTACTTACTCTTTCTTTCAGCTGTTGGTAAGTCCACGTTTGCTAAAATGCTGGAGATGTCTACCGCCGCGTGCGAGGTGGTCCATGAGCCCATCGCCAAGTGGCAGAACATCAGGGCTTCCAACCACAGTGAGGTGAGTGTCAGCGCGCTCCAATGTATGTAACCAAATCTGCCCGGAAGTGCTAAATCCTCACTTCATAGAAAAGTGTGATGAAATGGGCCCAACAACAACAAATGACATTTACGCAGCGCCTTTCATGTCGGGAGGACGTCCCAAGGCGCTGGACAGTCAGGGATTTGGACCCGAGCTGGGATCAGGAGGGGTGGAGGGCAGGGAGGGTGGAGGTAGCAGGATGACCGAAGGTGCAGTTGGTCGAAGAGGAGGGTCTTGATATGTACCTTGAAGGAGGCAAGAGAGGGGGCGAGGCAAAGGGACTGTGGGATGGAGTTCCAAAGGGTGGGAGAGGTTGAAGGGAGCTGAAGGTCGATATTGCAAACAGGGAATAATGGTCACGGGGGCTTGTTTCTCTTTCCCTCCCCTCCCCCTGCAGGACTCTTCGTCCTCCGCACTGAAAAGCACGGGCAACTTGCTTCAGATGATGTATGAAGATCCCCAACGATGGTCCTACACATTCCAGTCCTACTCTTGCATGAGCCGGATAGAGGCACAGCTAAAGCCAGTCTCCGCCAGGCTGCTGAACACTGAGAACTCGGTGCAGATATTCGAGAGATCGGTGTACAGTGATAGGTAACTTTAGGCATGGGCTTTGTGGGCTCCAGCCAACATGGTCATACGGGCAAAGACAGCAGCAGCTTAAAACTGTACTGGGAGCTTTTTGCATCTCACCCACACTGTATGTATCACTCTCAGTGTCTCTCACATACATAGTGTGTCTCGTGGGGTCGTGTAGCATATTGGTTAGACCACTGACCTCGCAAGAGCGGGAGAACCTGGTTCGATTCTTGGATAGGGCAAAACCGTAGGCAAGTTACCTTACGCCACATGCAACAATTATTATTTTATTAAACTCAGAGCTGAACAGCTAAGTGGGTGATGTAAGTTTGTCACAAAGATGTTGGCCAAAGGCATGATCATGGGTGGTTTCGGATGGTCAAAGGGGTTTATTCTGACAGATAATTGAGTCATCGGTGGAGCAAAGCAAGTTGGTCCTAAGCAGCAATAACAATAACAACAAAATTGCATGTGTTTAGCACCTTTCACGTCGGGAGGACAACCCAAGGCGCTGGACAATCAGTGTTTCGGATCTGAGCTGGAGGTCGGGATCAGGGAGGGTGGAGAGCAGTGGGGGAACAACAACAACAAGATTCCATTTATAGAGCGCCTTTCACGTCGGAAGGTGACTGAAGGCACAGTGGAAGAGGAGGATCTTCAGACTGATCTTGAAGGAGGCAATGGAGGGGGCGAGGTGGAGGGACTGCGGAATGGAGTTCCAGAGGGTGGGGGCAGAGTGGCTGAATGGTGGAATAATAATCAAAGTACTGCAAATAATAATAAACAAAATACTGTAGGTGCTGGAAATCTGAATAAAAACAGAAGTCGCTAGGCACACTCAGCAGGTCAGGTAGCATCTATGGAGAGAGGAAAGTGGGTTAATGCTTCAGGTCGAGGACCTTCAGAATTATAATTAGAATCCTTACGTTTGATGTTGGGCCAATCACACTGTCGTGGGAAGTGGATTAATGGCAATAATTCTCATTCTAGGTATATCTTTGCCTCTAACATGTATGATCTGGGCTACTTGAATGAAACCGAATGGACTATCTACCAGGATTGGCACACTTATCTGATCAACCAGTTTGGCAACAGAATAGCACTGGAAGGAATTATCTACCTTCAAGCATCTCCGGAGGTGATTGTGTGTGTGTGTGGGGGTGGGGAAGGGCATTCAGTAAAACTGGTTAGGCTTTGTTGTTAAATAACACACCACCTGACCCTCTTTCCCCTTCCTCCCCACCATTTCGATCTGGGAATTAAAGCTTGACTTTGCCCTTTCCCCGCACCAAACTCCGCTCCCCGACCCCCCCAGTCCTGGCCAGACTGCACTGGCTGCCTGTCCCAGAGAGGATCGATTTCAAGATCCTCACCCTTGTCTTCAAATCCCTCTACTCCTCTGCCTCTACCTCTCTGACCTCTCTCCTCAAAACAGTACCCGTTGCCTTCGTTCCTCCAGGTCTGGCCTCCTCCTTGTCCCCCAAATCCTCCGCTCCACCCTCGGCGGCTGTGCCTTCAGCCACTATGCCCCGAGGCTCTGGAACTCCCTTCCTCACTCCCTTCACCTCGCTCCCTCTTCTTATTTTCAGGTCTCTGCTGAAGACCTTTTTTTTCGACCGCACCTTTGGTCATCTTCCTCCCCCTCCCCCCGGACCTTGGTTGTGGATGTGAAGGAAGCCTTTTTTTTTGTCCCACTTAGAAATGCCTGGAGCGCATCCAGCAGAGAGCCAGGGTTGAGGAGAAGGAGATTCAGGTTAACTACTTACAGCAGCTGCATGACAAACATGAAGACTGGCTGGTCAAACGCACCATGGAGTAAGTCACATTGTGTGTGCTTGTGGTGGAGAGTGGGGTGGGGGGGTGTGCATGTGGGGTTGGGGGGAGGGGTCAAGATTCTGTGCTGTTTCTTAATGAAGAAACCTGCACTTGGTTGACACCAACTTGTATGTTTGGACGATGGATATGTTTTGGATCGGTGTGATGTTGTATTATAGTGACATTCTTATCCCCACCCCCCATGCGAGGTGGGGAGGGTGTGGGGTGGAGAAGGGGGAGGGATGGAGGTGTGGTGAGGTGGCTCAGAAACACACTCCCTCTATCCCTCCGCCTTGCCCCCTCCTTCCCGATCCTCAGGCCGTGACTGAAGACTTGCCTCTTCAACCATGCCTACGGTCACCTCCCCCCGGCTCGGGGTCATGCTCACCCACTGTCAAACGCTCTGGGGCGCTGCCCTGCGTGAGGCGTGCAAGAAAGAAAGATAATTGTTGGGCTGTTTTGCCTCCTTTTGACTTCTTTCTCTTTTTGATTAGAGTCCACTTTGACCATCTGAAGAATGTTCCCATGTTGGTGCTGGATATGAACGAAGATTTTGAAGAGGACAAGTTGAAACAGAACAAGCTCCTGGAGCAGGTGGGGTGTGCTGTGCTTGCTATGCAAATGTAATTGTTGTTGTTGTTTATCGCCGTCACACACGCGCGCATGGCCTCCTGAATGACAGAACCTGTGAGCCTCACAATACGCACAGGGAACCTGCCACACAGAACAACAAACACATGGCAACTTATGTTTGCACAGCTCAGCTGGCCTTTCAAGTCGGGAGGACATCTCAAAGCACTTCATTTTTAGACTGCTAACCAGGGATCCGAGCTGGGGATGGGTGAGGGGAGGGGAAAGGGCCGAAAGCGCAGTCAAAGGAAATAATATTGTGATACGCTGTATAGTTTGGCCTGTGCAAGCGACGGCCAGGATGGTGGAAGGCGAACTGGGTGGTCTTTTGTTTAGCGATTGTTATACTCTTAAAAGGGTCAATCTTAAACTGGGCTTTAAAAGTGGGCAGGCAGAGAGGGAGTAAGAGGTGAAGAAATGTGCGTGTGCATGTGTGTATATATATTTTCTTGATTAAAGCACCTTAATGCTTACACTGTCTCTCCCCTCCCAGGTGAAGAACTTCATGCACAGTCTGCGTTTGGATGGACGAAGCCTTTAGTTGATTTATGTTCAGCCTTATAATTTATTCGTCCTCCAAAGAAGTGTAGTTGCAGAGTCTAACCTAGGAGCTGTGCTGAGAGCACGAGAAAGAGAGAAAGAGAGAGCTAATGCAGAATCACTGGAATTCCCTGTGACCAGGTGGGCTGTGTCCAATTCAGTTGCGAGTAAGTAGAGCTTAGTATAGACACAGTGACTTAGGTGAGTCAGGCTGATAGTTCTCAGAGTTTATCTTTAATCTGTTATGTTGCTATAACATATTCTGTGTGTGTGTGTGAGAGTTGTGTGGCATCTTATTTAACACAAAAGCGTTGAGTGTCTAACAGCCTTGAAGTCTGAGCTTGTGTTGGGTAACTTACCTTGTGTGCGGTCCTTGTTGCGTGTCTGGCTGGTGGGCACAAAAAGCGCTGTGACCGAGTGCCTCACCTTGTGTTCTGTAAGTGAAGTAATTGCCTCTCTGTTAATGTGAAGAGCGTTATTTATGACTAGGAGATTAAATGTAATGTATTCTTCACTGTCGCGAGTTGTTTGCGTTGTGTACCCACCACTCGCTCCAGTGGGACTGGGGCGCCATTGTGACGCCAAATGTTATGAAGGGTACGATGACATAATAATAATAATAATCCTTACATTAGATACAGTGCCTTTCACTTAGGGAGAACATCCCAAAGAGCTTCATAGGACACAACTGTAAAATGCAGTGACTGAGTGTTTTACGGGTGAAACACGGTTGCACTTTTACAGTGATGCCCCCGCAAACATTTGTGAAGTTGGGGAGAGTTTGGTCTGGTGAGCAGCTTCATGAGTGAGGTTCCTGGGCACTGTAGGACTGTTCAAGTAACCTCAGAAAATGTTTGAAACTGAGTGAAAAATAAGGACCTTTCAGTGTTTTTGTGGCCCTTGTTGTTGGGGCATTGCTAGCTGTTTTTCTGTGTGCCCTTGACTGTCTTTGACTTGTATAATGTTGGGTTTGGTTTCAAATGTAGGAAATGTCTTCAGTGTCTCTCGCGCTCTCTCTCCAGCAGAAGTTGCGACTCAAGAGCAAGTTCAAAAGCTGCTGCCTCATTGCCTCCCAGGTTGAAGCGCTCCGAGACGCTGCCCCATATGAAGGCCGCTATATAAAGGTGTTGTCATAGGGAAATGAGTGTGTGGCTGCCAGACCAGGAGAGAACAACTTCACAGTGTGTTTCTCCCTCAATGCCACCAGAGGGTGCGATCTCTCTCCTCCTTGTAATAATGTTTGACAATGATGGCGATGGTAGAAACTATGGCCATTCTGAATTAAATTATTCATGTCTCTAATTATTCTGTGATACAATTAGCAAATCTTCAGCTTTTTTAAAAAAAAATTAATGTATTTTCCTGAACTTTCTATGATCAATATTTGGAAAAAGGAGCGAGGAGTTGCACGTGAAGGGGGGGAGTTTGTTGATGAATTGAGTCAATTGAAGCAATTGTACAATTGAAATCATTGGGAATAAATGGTTGGAAATGAGGTTTCTTTTATAAAATAAAAATGGAAAGATCTTGAGTGGGATTTCAACCCAGAAACCTCTGATTCCTAGTCAGTGACTCTCCCTCTGAGCCACCAGCCAGCGCTGGGTTGGGCCCTCTCCATATAGATTTGTCCTGGATATTACATGCCCCTGGAATTGAAGGATAAGTATAATAATTATAATAATAATCCTTGCATTTCATATACCACCTTAAGTTCCACATTGTCCGAGCATGAATCCTCTGGTGGCACAGTGTGTACAATGCAATGCATTCTGTGGGTTCAAATCCCCAGTTGCCTATCTATCACTCTGTGCCTATCTGGAAGAGGTTTTAATTTGCCATTTTTTTTCCTTGTTGGAAAAAGTAATAAAACCCCCACCTCTCTCTCTCTCTCTCTCTTGTGGCACTCTTTATCAAACTTGGACTCAGCCACCATTACCTCTCCTATTTCTGTCCTAACTCTTGCCTTGCTTGGGTTTGAACCCAGTACCTTTCCTCTCCAGGACATATTCTCTAACCATTAGAGAAACTAGAGAAACAGGTTCTCAAAAGTCAAAAGCTGAGCAGGATTTGAACCCTGGTATCTGGGCGCCAAGCCAAGTGCTCTAACCAATTGGTCACCATGTACCACAGGGTTGAAGAGTTTTTTTGGGGACTCTTGTCTTTTACAATTGGAAGCCAAAGTCAAAAGAATCAGACAATTTCTCTCTGTTGGAAAGAGCAGGATTTGAGCCCAAGCTCCTGGTCCAGCGCTCTAATCACTGGGCCACCAGCTCCTACAGGTAACCAGTGACCTTCTGTTCTCACTCTTATTCTCCAGAGTCTCACCATCAAATCTATTCTGACATCACGTCAACTAATGCAAAGACTTGACTCAATCCAAGTCCATTCACATCAGCAGCTTCTCAAACAGTAACCAAAACACACTCTGCCCCTGATCCTTTCACGCCTTTACCTTTTGCACCTTTATTCCAGGCTCGTCTAACGCCAGCTCCCTGCTTTTCAGCCTTCCCAACTCTTCCCTCCACAAGCTGCAGATCATCCAGAACTCTGCAGCTCGTGTCCTCTCCCGCACCAGACTCCGTGACCCTATCGTGCTCACTGTCGCCCGGCTCCATTGGCTCCCCATCCACCAGAGGATAGAGTTGCAGGCCCTCCACAACCTTGCTCCTTCCTATCTCTGTGACCCATATCAACCTGTCTGCTTCTTCCTCTACGCTCCAGCCTGCTCCACCATCGGCAGTCAGGTTTTCAGACTCTCTGTCCCCATCCTTTGGAACTCCATCCCACATTCCCTTCGCCTTGCTCTCCACCCCCCCAACCCCCCCCCCCCTTACCCCATTGCCTCTTTGACCACACCCTTGGTCACTCTCCTATCCCAGCCATCCTTGATCCCAACCCCAAGCTCGGGTCGAAATCCCTGACTGTTCAGCGCCTTAGGACGTCCTCCCGAAATGAAAGGTGCTGTACAAATATAATTTTGTATTGTATTTATTCACAGCTACTCCTGTCCAGTCTCTTCTTTTACCCCATCTCTCATTTACAAAGTCAAAGCCTTGATCTATATACAGTAAATATGGGACCAGAAATTCCAGACACAAAACGTGATTGGCAGCTTGGCTCAGTTGGTAACTCGCTCTCCTCCGAGAGAGGGGTTGTGAGTTTAAATCCCCGCTGGGGGATTTAAAGGGCCAGGCTGATGCTCCAATACACAGATGAATTGCCACAGCAAAGGACAGTTCCACCTGGTTGAGTGGACGGTAAAGATGCCATGACACTGACTGACCCTCAAGAGAGCGAACACAAGCTCAGTGTCATGGTAGCCATTTCCCCGGCCAAACCACAAGTTGCCTGTGACACCTGCTGTGTGTAAAATGGATCCTAATGAATTTTCAGCCATTTCCTGGGAAATACTTTTTTTTACATTTGTAGGCACAATAACAAATATTGTGACTGTGTGTATTTAAGCGTTCCGAGACACCGTCCAGCATGGAGGGCACTATATAAATGCAAGTTTTGTGTTTGAGTGTGTACAACATGTCAAGAGGATGTTCCAAGGCGCAGGTCAGTCAGGGATTTGGACCCGAGCTAGGGTTTGGGAACAGAAGAGGTGGAGGGCAGTGAGGGTGGGGATAGCAGGGTGACCGAAGGTGCGGATGGTCGATGAGAGGGTTTTGAGACGGGCATGGAATGAGGTGAGAGAGGGAGTAATGCAAAGAGACTGTGGATTGAAGTTTCAAAAGGGTGGGAGCAGAGGCTGAAGGTGGGGTGGGGTGGTCTGGGTGTGGGACATGGATGGAGGAGGGAGTAAACAGTTTGATATGGGGTTAGTAGGTCACAGAGGTAGGAAGGAGCAAGGCCTTGGAGAGCTTTGAAGGTGAGGACAAGCATTTTGAACTCTATCCTCTGGGGGATGTGGAGCCAGTGGGGTGAGGAGAGGGGTGATCGGATCACGGAGCCTGGTCAGCATAATGATATTGATTAGTAAGGAGTTACTGATGGTCATGAGATTTTATAACTAAACACAAATTATTGTAGATGGTAATATTTTATTAACACTTAATATTAGGCATTGTATGTACCTCACTACATGGGGACATGTTCCCCCATCCTTGGGGAGGACAAGTTTGCAGGACTATGGGGAGAGAGCAGGGAAGCGGGGTTGATTTGGACACCTCTTTTCAAAGAGTTGGCACAGTCACGATGAGCCGAATGATCTCCTTCTGTGCTGGATAATTCTATGATTCTATGATCCACAGAATCACCAGCACGTCATTGTGAGTAACTGTGGTCTTATATAGTGCCCAGTAGATGAATAACAGCCAGCTGGTAAAGAGAGAGCGTAAGACATCCATCTAACGCAGAATTTAGTGTAAATAACTAGAAAAAAAAGTATAATGATAATTCACCGGGTTAATAAATCTCATAAGGTGTTCAAAATTATGAGGGGTTTTTATAGAGTGAATAGGAAGAAACTGTTTCCTCTGGTGGGCTTGATTTAAGATAATTGGCAAAAGAACCGGAGGGGAGACGATGAGATTTTTTTTACCCAGAGAGTTGTTATGGTCCTGAACGCACGGCCTGAAAAGCTGGCGGAAGCAGATTTGATAGCTTTCAAAGCAAATTGGATAGGTACTTGAAAAGGGAGTATGTGTAGGGTCTATGGGGTAAGAGTGGGGGAGTGGGACTAGTTGGTAGCTCTTTGCGTGACACGGGACCTGAGGGTGGGAGCTGAGGAGAGGAAAGATGACTGAAAAGGTGGTCAAAGACATACGATGTGTGGCTTTAAGAGTGGAGGGAGGGGAGGGAGGGAGGAAGCAAGTCAGAGGGACCTGGGAACGCAATAATAATCACAATAATAATCCATGCGTTTGATGTCACGTCTCAAAACGCGCTCTGCTGTAAAGTGTAGTGACTGTGTTGCATAGGCAGATTGCCAGTGTTTGATGCGGAGTGCAAAAGTCCTGAGATGTTTGCAACAGAAACAAATCCCAGCTGGGCTGTGGTTTTACACACATCAGTGAATAGGAACAATATAAATGATCTCCTCATTCTGACAGAGAGAGAGAGAGAGGACTCAAAGGGCATTTACTGCAACACCCCTCAAGATGTTCCAAATGTTATTTGAATATAATAATAATCCTTGCATTTGATATAGCGCCTTACCATATTGTTATACGTCTCAAAGCTCTTTACTGTAAAGTGAATTGACTATATTTTGTGGGCGAAATGTGGAAGCCAATTGCACACCGCAGTGTCCCACAAACAGTCGTGGATTGAGTGACGAAATTTTTATTATAATCTTGTTTGTAATCTTTTCCCCCAAAACAAAGTGGGAAGAGTTTCAACAACAACAGCTTGAGTTTATGTAGCAATCTTCATAGCAATCTTCATAATCTTCATAAAAATATATCAGAGACTCCCGAGAGAACATAGTTTTACTAATTTTATGTCAGTTTGTATTAAACAATGGTGAACATCTAGAGGGATTTAGAGAGAAAGACTGTGCAGTTGTTATCATACCATCACATAATGCAACCAACATTTATTTTAGTTAAACCTGTCCGGCCTGTTTATGTATCTCTCTCTCTACTTCTCTGGCACTATTTTGGTTTCAAGGTTCGTTCTTCCCCTCGTTCAAGATCCGTCTCAAGACCTTATCTCTTTGACCGCGCTTTTGGTCACCTTTCCTCTCCCCGCCCTAACTCGGGCCCCACCCCCAGCTCAGGTGCCAAGAGCCAGCACTGTTAAGAAGAGCCTTGGGATGTCTGCCGGCATTAATAATAATAATAGCCCTTGCATTTGATTATAGAACCTTATCCCATCTTTGAAAGCGTCTCAAATGGCTTCACAGAATATACTGTAAAGTGAATTGACTGTGTTTTGTGAGCGAAACTGTATATAAATGTCAATTTATAGTGGATTAAAATGGTATTTTGTTCAGTAATTATGAAGATGCTGTGGGAAATAAGGGATTGTTCTACACAAAGCTAAAAGAAAGTCCTAATTTAGTGGCTGGTTTGAGCTGGAAATGTCCTGTGCTTTATGCAACACAACCTCAACGTCCAAAGTGTGTTTCACCACATGGAGCCCTCAACCTTGGGAAGACTTCTCTGCTAAGCTGCCCTTGCCGGCCTTCTCCGTATGACTCAATATGCATATACACATCTTGTTAATTTTTTTTAGCAGTCAAAAAGCTTGCGATTGTCTTCCGCTTATCTACAGTTCCTATTGTTTTCACTAACTGACTGAAGATTACATTGTGAGTTCAGATTGAATATTAGTTTCTAAACTGTGTTCCTCTGATTTGATCCTGGGAAAGCCAGGATCAAATCATGTATGATTTCACTTTTTATGGAGGCGAGTGGAGGAACACAGGAACCAACCTGACATGGCGAGGCTGGAAAATTCTAAGCCAGCTCCCCACTTAACGCAGCCACGCCAATGTGTTTAACCTTGTATCTCCCTACCCAATTTTTCATCCAATTTAGCTCCGATCAGTGCTTTGGGCCTCCTGAAG